CGAGGGTTCTTGGTCTGGCAAGCCTGGGTCCGCGCATGATTGTTGTTTCAGGATCAGCGAGAAAATGATCCATCCGTAAACACCGCCACGGAAGCACGCATGATGCCGTGCCAGTGTGTGCCTTCTGTGTCCGTGTACCTTCGTAACAAACGATTTTCCTTGCAACAGGGGACTGTGCAGCTTGTCATTGCAAGCACCCGGCAACCACGTTGCATCAATTGCCCTCCGTTGTCTGGGGGGCGCCATGTACGATGAGGCAGGCACGAGTGCGATGTAACTGCGGCGAGTTCCTCAGGGCGACGGCGCTGTGTTGCTGGGTTTGCCATGGAAATGACAATCGTCCCGCGACTTCACGTATTTGCGTGTTACCAGCCACCAGCTAGATTGAGCAAAAACACTAGATGTAGAAAAAACACTAGATTTAGGAAAATCACTAGATCTGGCAAGGGGCTGGCTGCGTGTTGTGTGGATGTGTGTGATGGATGAGGAAGCAGTAGGCATCCATGCTTCTGTCATTCAAGCGGAGTGACAACGATGGCGGATAAGCGCAAGAGCTCCCGGCGACACGATCCAGACGTGGACGCCACCGACGTGTACGTGAGCTCCGCGGGTCCAAAATGGCAATGGTTCCGCACGTTTCTTCCATATGAATGCAAGGTGAAAGACGAGAGGGAGATCAGCGAACAGTTTGGGCTCTTCACTGTTGACGGCGACGCACCACTGACGCTTCAAAGCCACCGCGATACCCAGGCAAGGGGCGCTCTGTCGAATCCCCGAGGCCGCCGCCGGTTTCACCCACTTCGCGAGGCAGACGACGAGCAAGTGCTCCAGTGGCGACGGTGCCTCTTCCAGGAGATGAAGCACGTTGTGCGCGTGGCCGAACTCGTGTACGACTGCAGAGGAGAGTATCTCCATACGGCGATTCACTACGCCCCCATTCGGGCAACAGGCGCTCCCATGAGGGGCAGTGGATCGGGCCGCCGCCACTTTCGCGCACGTGGCTTCACAGCAGCATTCATCCAAGGCATGTACGAGTTTGAGCGCAGGCAAGGTGGCCTCACGCAAGCAGCTATGAACGGCTCACACTTGTGTCATCGAGGCCAGCACCGTTTGCCGGTAATTCACCCCAAAACAGGAAAGAAGCTGCTTCTGGAGTGCATCAGACCCTCGCACTGCTGCCTTGAAGCTGTTCATCGCAACAACAGCCGCCAAGGCTGCCCTGGCATTCTCGGCGGCTGCATCCACGAGCCGCCCTGCCTTCTTCCTGCGCGCCGTGTGCATGGACCAGAGTCCATCTATCGCATGTTTGGGAAACGCGTGTGAGTGTGTTGTCAACGCCGCCTTGTCAGCGAACCAATTAAAGCGAAGCGCATTGCATTGACGCACCAACACCTGCACCTGTCAAGCTTTGCTAGATCTAGATTGTCTACTGTATTTAGATGAAAATCTATATCTAGTAAAATCTATATCTAGATTCTCTGCTGGATCTAGATTTTAAGCTGAATATAGATTGTATACTGGATCTAGATTTTACACTGGATCTAGATTTTAAGCTGAATATAGATTTTATACTGGATCTAGATTCTCTGCTGGATCTAGATTTTAAGCTGAATATAGATTTTATACTGGATCTAGATTCTCTGCTGAATATAGATTTTATACTGGATCTAGATTTTATACTGGATCTAGATTCTCTGCTGAATATAGATTTTAAGCTGAATATAGATTTTATACTGGATCTAGATTCTCTGCTGGATCTTGATTTTAAGCTGAATATAGATTTTATACTGGATCTAGATTCTCTGCTGGATCTAGATTTTAAGCTGAATATAGATTTTATACTGGATCTAGATTCTCTGCTGAATATAGATTTCAAGCTGAATATAGATTTTATACTGGATCTAGATTCTCTGCTGAATATAGATTTTAAGCTGAATATAGATTTTATACTGGATCTAGATTCTCTGCTGAATATAGATTTTAAGCTGAATATAGATTTTATACTGGATCTAGATTCTCTGCTGGATCTAGATTTTGTACTGGATCTAGATTTTATACTGGATCTAGATTTTATACTGGATCTAGATTCTCTGCTGAATATAGATTTAAGCTGAATATAG